TCTTCTACAAAGCGGAATACGTCTTTCTCTTTTATGTGCATTGCTCGACGCTCGAGGACCTTCCAAGTTAAGCCTTCTTCATGGATGATTCGCCACACCGACGTCTTGGAGATCGCGATGTGGTGAGCGCGAGTGAAGGCGGCTTGATACTTGTCCAGGTACGCAAGGGGATGATCGCTGTAGTAGCTCAGCAGCCATGTGCGCGAGAATGTTCTCTCCGACGTTCGCTTTGCACGCTGAAAAACTCCAGTCTGCTCGTAAGTCTTGATCCAGTTGCTTAGTGTTCGCTCTGACTTGTTGAAAACGTGTGCTAGGTGTTGCTTGAAATAACCTAGCTTATAGTACGCGAGCAGGCAATGGTAAGCCGTGTTCTGGTGCGCATGCTGCCGGGTAGCTGCTACCTCCATCGTTCGAGTCAAGGAAACTTCAACTTCTATGACCTTCATTCTGAGTAATATTGATATTGGTCAGCCAATAAAAGTCCTTGTCGATTTGAGCATGGGGAATAGTGGAAGTGTGAATGACACGCGTTCGGAAAGTTCGGTCGGAATCTACAATACGAGCTCTTGCTACAATCCTTGACCTGCACCTACATCAGATGGACGTGTCTACCGTGTTACTAAACGGTTTACTACCTGAGGCCATCTATATGAGGCAGTCACTTAGGTTCCGACATGGTTCGGCTTCCCTCATGTGCAAATTAAGAAAGAGCCTATGTGGACTGAAACAGGCACCTAGAATTTGGTATGATGTTCTAAATGTATTTCTAAAATTACTTGGGTTTTGAGGTGCAAGAAAGCGTATTGCTTGTACCACAAAAAGTGGGAGGTTGAAGGAGTTGTGCACACACAACTAGTATGCGTTTATGTTGATGATCTGACCATTGCTGGGTCACACCTCAGCGCAATTCAAAAGCTTCAGAATCAACTAGCACAATAGTTCACAATGAAGGATTTAGGAGAACAGCACTATCTTCTAAAATGGAGATATCACGAGATTTGGGTACAAATGTACGGTGTGTCTCGCAGCATAAATATATTCATGACTTGCTGGAGAAGTATAATACGAAGGATTGTACTACGGAGCCCACATCTCAGGCAAAAAGTGTTATACTACAGAAGGAAGAGGCTCTCGCACCAGAGCAAATCGCGGCTCAGCCGTTCGACTACAGAGAAGTAGTGGGCTTCCTTATGTACCTTATTAGAGGGACGAGGCCCGGTATAGCAAACGCTGTAAGGGACCTGAGTAAATACCTATCTTGCTTCAATAAGAGCCACTGGAGGGAAGCTCGGCGGGTACTACAGCACTTGAAAGGACGTCGCAGTATGGCTTACTATTCAATGGAAATAGCAATACTACTAAGTTTGAGCTATACACAGACGCGAGCTTCGCGAATGCACATGAAACCAGAAAGTCTATTACAGGATATGTATCAATACTCGCTGGTGCATGCATTACGTGGAAGAGTGTTAAGCAAGACTGCATCAGTCTAAATACAGCAGAGGCAGAGCTTGAAGCAGCAAATCAAGGTGTAAAAGAAGAAATGTCGATTCGATTACTACTTCAGGAATTGGGTCACGAGCAAGTAGTACCAACACAATGCTGGTGTGATAATACTGCTGCAATCCGTATTATTAAGGACCCGTGTAGTCATTCATCCACAAAGCATATTGACATTAAGTATCTGCACGCTCGCGAAAAGCATGAAGCAAAGGGGATCACTGTTACATATTGTAATACAAACGATTTGATAGCAGATGCTCTAACAAAGCCCCTAAGTCAACATCAGTTTGAAAAACTTCGTGATATGATGGGAGTCAGAGTCCTAGGTATTAAGGGGTCCAAATAAGGGAACCTCAAATAATATTTTATGCCTCAAATCAGGTGGTGAGCCTCAAGTAAAAGAATAGCAAATTTACAAAGTCAAAGTGAATTTGTTAGATAATA